AGTTTAATTAGTTGAGGTTATGTCTTGATTGGGAAAATAAATGTTAATGAAAATACATTTTCTTTAATTTTAATTTGCTAAATAAAGGAATCTATATACACATGGTTTTATTATATAGTAATTTAAAAATAAAAATAAAAATATGACTAAATTATTATATATAATAACAATTGCTAAAATTAACTGGTACTAAGTTTTTCTAAGTGGGGGGCTAGTAAAGTTGGGGAAATAGCCTACACATCATGACAATAAGAGCAAAAAGATTAGAACAATTATAGCTCCTAAAATTAAAGGTAAAATGCAATTGAATTGAAGAAATAATTACCTCTTCCCCAAAGGATGATGGTGCGTCGTATGTGAAATTTGTCCTTGCAAAATGTTTAATGAATCTCCTAAAATTTATGCAGTTCAATATTCGCAGTTGTTTTAAGGATGAGAATTCCATAATACAATCTCCTTTGTAGAAGTTAGAAAGGTTTTGAAGGTCTTCTATCACCAGAAAAGTCAATTGAGGAAAAATTAAAATTTCGTTTCGTTCATAAATTTCAACCACAATAATCTGACTCATCCTTTGGCATTTCTTTACTTGCAGGTGTCTAAGCTTCAACAAGCCTGTTGCTATAGAAGATGGGAATAGGTATTCCAAATTGTCACAGTCATGAATGATCAACTTTGTCAGGTTCTTGATATAAGACATCATTGAATTGTACCATATGGTATTATCAACCATAATTGAGAACAATTGCAAGTCCTCTAAGTTTGAAAACACAACCTGCACAACAAGTAGTTCCTTTTATGAGATAAAGGCTTATCATTTTTGTTTATAGAAAAGAACAAGGATTATCTTATATACACAACACTAATATAGCTATAATACCATGTATATAGAATTGTAAGTTTACAAATTAAATGTGAAAAAATATACAATATCACTCATGAAACACTAAATAAAAAAAATCATTTATATAATAACACTTAATGATTACAAATTTAAAATGGCACATCATTTTAAATATATTATTGTCATATCTTGGTCATCTTCATATTACCTTCTTTATCAAAGATATTATGTTGAAATATACTTATTAAATGCACTTTTTGGTTTTTATTTTTAATAAATTAAATTTATTTAACAAATTTGTTAATTTTTTTGCACTTTCATGAAGTTTAGTTTCTGTATAATTTTTTATATGACAAATTATTATATAAATACGGTACTCAATGAAAAGTACACAATTCAACCATATATTCTTCTATTAATCTAACCTCAACTCACCATAATACTCTACTATGAATAGGAAAATAGGTAAAAATCTAGGTGGTGGCTTTGGAAAGAACAAAAATGGGAAAAACAAAATTTAAATACCTTTTCATTGAAAATTTGTGTCCCGACGAAAAAGGATTGTCATGATCATCTTGGGCTTCACCAAACAACTCAAAATGTGTCCTTAGGGGACTTTTGGTGGTAATTGAGAGGTTGAGGCATCGCACTGGAGGTTTGGACTCGAATCGGGGAGGGTTATTCCCCATTTTATAGTCTATTATTTCATCTTAATCATGTTGTTTGTTTTAAAGTTTTTTATTTTTATTTTTGATTAATTAAATTTATTTAAATTTTTTGTGAAATTATATAGTAGTTTCATTAGCTTAGGTTCTTTCTTGATTGGAAAAATAAATGTTAATGAAAATGTTTTTTTTTTAATTTTAATTTATAAAATAAAAGAATCTATACACATGTGGTTTTGTTATATAGTAATTTAAAAATAAAAATAAAAATAAAAATATGACTAAATTATTATATATAGTAACAATTGCTAAAATTAATTGGTACTAAGTTTTTCTAAGTGGATGCTAGTAAAATTGGGGAAAATAGCCTACACATCATGACAATAAGAGCAAAAGGATTAGAACAATTATAGCTCCTAAAATTAAAGGTAAAATGCAATTGAATTGAAGAAATAATTACCTCTACCCCAAAGGATGATGGTGTGCCGCATGCGATATCTGTACTTGCAAAAAATTTAATGGATCTCCCAAACTTTATGCAGTTTAATATTTGTAGTTGTTTTAAGAATGAGGATTCCACAATATAATATTCTTCACAAAAGCTGGAAAGGTTTTGAAGGTCTTCTATCACCAGAAAAGTCAATTGAGGAAAAATTAAATTTTTTTTTTCTTCATAATTTTAGCCATGATAATCTGTCTCATCCTTCGACATTTCTTTACTTGTAGGTGTCTAAGCTTCAACAATCCTGTTGCTATAGAAGATGAGAATAGGTATTTCAAATTGTCACAGCTATGAATGATCAACTTTGTCAGTTTCTCAATACAAGATGTCATTGCATTGTCCCATATGGTATTATCAATCATAATTGAGAACAATTGCAATTCCTCTAAATTTGAAAACACAACCTGCACAACAAGTAGTTATTTTTATGATGTAAAGGCTTATCATTTTGTTTATAAAAAAGAACAAGGATTATCTTATCTATGCGATAATAATATAGTTAAAATATCACATATATAAAATTGTAAATTTATAAATTAAATCAGAAAAAATATACAATATTGCTCATGAAATATTAAATAAAAAGAATCATTTATATGATAACACGTAATGATTTTAAATTTAGAATGGCACATCATTTAAATATATCATTGTCATATCTTATTTATCTTCATATTATCTTCTTTATCAAAGATATTATGCTGAAATACACTTATTAAATGCACTTTTTGGTTTTTATTTTTGATAAATTAAATTTATTTAACAAATTTGTTAATTGTTCCTTGCA